TTAAGACTCCAGATGCTATATCTTTTGATAGCCGGGCACTATCAGCTTTCTTCACCACATTTGCTTATGCACACATTTAGTCTTCAGTGATCATGTCAGGAGAGGTGAGCATCACAGAAGGATGGGTTATTAGAACAAAGTGTTCTCAAGTTGAGGGAGTACTTAGTGAAGGCCCAATGTCTCTGCTGCCTAAATCTTTAGCAAATAGACATATGTACATAGATCTAGTTCCCTATCGTTATATATAAATATTTTTACATATGTAAATGCCTGTATTTAGACCTCTATAATTGTCCTTTGCCTCCTAGTTCTTTTCTCTATTTCCTTTTACCTTCCACTATCATGTTCGGCCTTCATTCAGGTTTCAGAAATTCCTCTCGGTTACCTTGCCCTTGATCAAGCCCCACCAGGCATCCTATGCCCTCCTCACCATCGATTTTAGATCACTTGTTGTTCCCTTGTTCCTGGGTTTGTTGACACCCCCATTCCTTTACCCTGCCTCCCCCTCTCCTATGTCCCCCCAGAACCATTGGTCCCGTTGTTTTCTTATCTGGATTGTAAGGGATAGTATTTCTAATAATAATTCTAGTGATAAGGTAAAGGAGTTTGCATGAAGAAATATTTTTAAAATGGACTTTGCAAAACTTGTACAAGAATACAAAAAAGTGAGATCATAGTTCACTGAGAGTCTATTATATGCTAGGATTTGACCTTTGGGAAATTAAAGTTGTCTTTATCTTTTTTATGTGCTTGTTTTCAATGAATCCAATACAAGAGGGCTTCAGAAATTTAACGGAAAAATTAAATCATATCCCCCCACACACACTCACATTCTTGAAGCTCCTTCATGAACAAGGTTAGAAGTTTGCTGTCACTCAGATGGACATGACAGGCTTGATGTGTCTTTGTGAAACTGCATTCCACTAACCAGTCCACCCAATAGATTCCAAGAAACTACATGGGACTCACCAAATAGAAGAACTTTATATTTGAATTATCAGGATATGCTTTGCTGTTGAGGGAATAATGCACATTAACAGTCTTCTGTTGATTGCACTTAAGTGGCTTTGGCTCTGGGATGATCTTCAGGAAGCTGTCGGTCCTGGAGTAAAATCGTGAGACTGACCAATAAGCATCTCCATAGTCAGGTGTCAACCAGTTGGAACCGTAGCACTTACTAGGTCGAATATATGTGGCCTAATTTAAGAGAGGAAAGCAAAGGGCCTGAAGAGTTATAAAAACTTCCCAAAGACAATAATGATTACAGACTAGAAAGCATTGGGTTTCTTCAAAACAAGAAGAACTTAGTTTATGCTTGATATTTCTTCTTCTTTTTTCAAATAGGAGAATATGTCAAAGAGTATTACTATAAAATCATAGACAATTTTTTTGGAAAAAAAATCAAAACGTGAAGGCATTGTTTGTCAAGATAAATTTCATCTAGGTCAATGTACTTTGGAAGGAAATGTTTGCAACTCTATAATCCTACCCTGAATAATTCTGGCCTCTTCAATTTACACTCCCTCAAAATGGTAGTTTTGACATCCTGGAGAGATTCGAATCATGTCGCTTTTCAATGTTCTTTGCATTGGGGGAACAAAAAGTCATCTGAAGGGATGAAAGCTGGGCGTAAGTTTTCCCCAACAGCCCTGGTTACACTTGAAAAATGAGCAGATACATCATTATGATGGAGAAAAAAATATTCCTCGACATAACTTTCCTGGTCTTTTTTCACCAAAGTAGTTATCAGTTTTCTTAAAACTTCTTCCTTATTAGCCCCATTGAATATCCTTTGTCCCTTGGGGACAAAACAAACAAAAATGATCAAGATGATTCCTTTGGAATCTCAAAATCAGTCACTATAATGTTCTGAGCTGTCCTCTGTGCCTTGAATTTAACTGGCCCAGCAGATCTCCTTAGAAACTTCTATTTTCTTTTATTGAACTTTGTTGAAAGGACCTTGACAAGGCTAAGATGAGTCTAGTACTGAGAGTGTTCCTCTGAAGCCATCCACTGATCGCAGTGACATGTTTAAAATGTTTTGTCCAGAATAAACCCATGCAAGTATGTAGCGATACTTTTGGATTTACCCATGTATATATATATACATGGATAAATATATATATATATCATGACCAAAGCTATATAAAATTTCACAAGACCTACAATGTGCTATTTATTCTTATCCCAATTGTGGCAGAAAATCAGACTTAAGCATTATTTCTTTCAACTACACTTGAACATTGACAAATCATCTAATTGAAAAAAAAGCTGTTTAAGCAGTAGAAAAACAAAGTACAGTATATCTGTTCATCTATGCATAAAATTATCTAAAGAAAAAATGTCAGCCTCTCTCCATGAGTCATTTGTAGTTTCCCAGAGGTTAATATTAATTCTTCTCTGATGGTATTCTAATAATGTAATAGAATATTAGTTTCTGGTTATGGTCTCATATAATGTTTAACAAAGAAACACATTATATAAAAAGTCCCAAATTTTATAACTTTTGTTAAAATGTACTCTCAGTATAAGGGAGTCCTTAGTGTTGAAGTTACAGATGTTCAAATTCTCTGTGGGGTTTTTGGCGGTCTTTGTCTTCATTTGGATCACTCACTCTCAGTCTGTATTGTGGCTCAAACATGTCTGAAGTGTCCATGGAAAACTGAGCTTCACCATTCTCATCCGTGGTGTAATTTCCAATAAATTTTTCATTCAGCTCCAATTGTAATAACTTGCTCACCATAGGTACATTATTGGGATCAGAAAATTTAAGCTGTATGAGAAAGAAGGAAGTTTCATTATTCCTAAAATGACAGAATTTTCACCTTCCTACAGAGAATCCCTTGCTTGTAGTTGTTCTTAAATTCCAATACGGAGAAAGATGCTCTGATAAGTAAATATACACCATGAAAACAGCTACAATCTCATCTGGTCCTTTCTTTCATCCTAGGTCTTTTCCCAAAAGATAAGACAGATTAATGATAAAACTACATGATTTTCATATAGAAAAATGGAGGTGAGAATGGAAATGTTCAAGGGCCAAGCTATGATCCCAGTAAATGTAATGAAAATATGTATTTTTCCATCAAACCTACAGTTCCAGAAAAAGTAATTCCTCTTCTATAGTAAAGGTCTGTATTCTCAAAGCTCACAGTCCCAAGTAACTGCGTGATAGAAATAGAAGTCTTCTCATTGATCTGCACACCTGTAAGAAAGACATGATGAGAAGCTGTCAGAAAAGGATTCAATCACTTGATCAAGCATTTGAAAAGACAGACAGCTTAGGATACATGTGCAAACTTCTTTAAAGTCATATTCCAGGCCTACACTGAAGGGGAGGCATATGGACTCTTTGGGTCATGCTCCAGAGCACTATGTATTTGGTTGTAGTCTTTACATCAAAATGAACACTGCAGTCCACTTGGAAATGTTTGAATTAGAAGCAGGAAAGATGTTCTTAAGTTCCTTGCTCCTGGCCCTCAGCACAGGTCTAGTTTGAGACTCTATATGATATAGAATGCCCTAAATATCTCAAAGATAAGACTTTCCTTTTCTGAAATGCTTCTCAAGACTTCAAGATAACCGAATTTCACAAATATCTGATCATAAAGTCAGCAGAAATGTTTGTGATACCAACAAAACAAGTAAATAAGTAGACAAACATTTTGGACTAAATTAATATCAATAGCAATTTAAATGCTACAATATTCCCTACTAGAGATGCCATCACAATGTTAAGAATATTTGCACAAACATTTTATAAATACAATCTCAAGCTCTTTTAAAAGTAATTTTAAAAATTAATAATTGAATCTTATGTCATCTTCCCAAGTAATTGATTCCTTTTAAAAAATTATTTGAACAAATATTTATTAAGTGCCTATTATGTGCCATTTTGAAAATTTTTCTTTCACATTTTACTTGCATTCTCACTTGCAAGGCTCCCCAGTTAAGTCAACCGAGAAATTGGCCAACTTTCCCTGAAAAGTCCCTGTAAAGTATCTGACAGCTAACAATCTAGGCAGGGGGCCACCTGACTACTGGGGTCATCTTTCAGCTCCATTGTTTTATCTATAAAGTCAGGTAAACAAATGGGCATGGCTGTGTTGCAATAAAACCAATTTACAGGAAATAGTAGGTGTGCCTCTCAACTTGTAGATTTTCGACCCTTGGGATCCTTCTGTGGTGCAAATGGTTAAGTCTTTCAGTCACTCTAAAAGGTTGGAGGTTAGGAGTACCCCCCACCCCTCCTCTGCCCTGAGAGTCCCCAGAAGGAAGTGTACATTGACTTCTGAAAAATCAGCCATTTGACAGCTTATGGAGCACACTTCCACTCTGATACATTTGGAGTCAACTTGGCAACAACTGGAGGAGTATTTGCTTATCAACTGCTGGGCAATTGCTTATCAATTGATAGACACTCAGTTAAAATGAGATGCTCTACATGCCACTATTTATTAGCTCAGTTCTACTATTTCAGAGGGAACTCTATTTGTCTGACTGATATGGACAAAGAAGAGATAAACATGTAACATACATACAATAGAATGATTTTAAATAGCACTGAGAGAATCAAATTCGAAAGAAATCCTCAAGATGGTATCTTGTCAAATGTACTTCATTTGGGTATACTGAGCAAGAAACTGATTGCCGTTAAACTGCCATTTATAACCAACTTACCCATAAAGTAAGACCATTACCTGTTCCAAATTCCGTAACAGCTGCCTTGATATAAAATGACATAAAAAATCCATATTGGTAGAGTTGGAAAACTTTTGTATTTACCATTTGAGAAGCACACCCATTTATCAACTGAAAAATAAAGAGAAAGTATAATGAAAAAATAGGGGTCCACGAGTCTTTACAAATGATAGATTCTTTGTACAGATATGTAATGCTCACCTCCCACCATCCTCATGCCTGACCCATGATTAGTCCGCACAAACTTTTGAAAAATGGCCAAAAGATTGAAGAAAAAACAGGGGAAAAAGAAAAGGGGGAAGGGAGGTGGTAGTAGGAAGAAGAGAGTAATCCATATGTCATGGTTTTCAAGGAAATCCTCTGGGAACTGCGTAGATGGAACTAGATGATTGGATAGCAATGGGGCTTAATGTTTTAAAGGAATAAAAATTTTAAATCATTATTACTGAGCCACATTAACTGTTGGGAATATTGAATCAGTTGTATGGAACACAAGTCCAATAATGTCATCCTTCAATAAAAATAATAGAGAAAGTGGAAAGATTTCAAAGTATGACAGACCAAAAATGACTATAGAAGACAGATGATAATTGAATCTGTGTATCTCATATTTGTAATTCCTACAAAGGACAGAAGAACAGATGAAATAGAAACATCCTTCAAATATGTATCACTGGATTTATTAAGTAAATTTAACTGAAGATGAATTAATTAATCTTATTCTCAAGTCTACTATATGAGCTAGGCACTGTTATTATCCCCATTATATGAATACAGAATACAGAATCAGGAGGATTGTATAACTTGCCGAAGGTCTTACAACTAAAAGATTCTACAGTTACTAGGCATCCTGACTCTAGACTATATAATAAGTACAGTCAAGTCAAATTTAAAATGAATGATAAAAAAGTTATCAGAGAAAGTTTAGTTACTTTAGAATTAATTTAAAATGTTTTCCAGTAATTCTTATATCAAAGAGAAAGTAGAAGGAAAATCAATAAAAATCTAGATATTTGTGTAATGTCCTGTGTCAAAATCTGTGGTGTTAAACTGTGCTTAATGGAAAATGTAAAACTCTGAGTGTGCTTGATTCAAACAGGAGGAATTGTGGTGCTCCCTAAGGTTATCAATATCTGATATTTTAAAAACAGTTTCGTTGGCAACTAATCCACATATCATACAATTCAGTAGTTAAATTGTATCACGAAGAGTTGTACATTCATTATCATAATCAATTTTGGAACTTTTTTTTTTCCTTGTCATAAGCTCCTCAATTCATCCCAACCTCCCTTGGCATAACCTTAAGCAACTATTAATCCAGAGGTGCTCTCTCTAGATTTATGGAACCCTGGTGACGTACGTAGTGGTTACTCCTTGGATTGTGAGCTTAAAAGTAAGCGGTTCAAAACCACCAGCCGCTCCAAGGCACAAAGATGGGGTGTTGTGCTCCATAAACAGTGACAGTCTCAGAAAGTCGCAGGGCAGTCCCACCCTGCCCTATAGGGCCACTATGAGTCCACATCGACTCACTGGCAGTGGCGTTGGCTTGGTTTTGCATTTCAGATACAGAAAAACCAGGCTTTTCTTCCAAGATGCTTCTAAGTGTAGTTGGACTGATTTTTTTGTTTTTGTTGTTGCTAGCAAGCAAACATGGCAACTGTTTGTACCACTCACAGATGAAAATAAAAGAACTAATATTTACTCTATTCGAAACCAGTTGGAACAGGAAAACCTATACACTAGAAACCTGGCTGGCCAAGATTAGAGGGTGTCTAAGGCCTCACATGAGCCTTACTTACACTGACTGGCCAAGGAAATCGTCAAACGGGGATGAGTTGACTTAGATGAAAGGCTCAAGTTCATGGTAAACAAAACATTACAGACTCAGGTGTTCACAAGAACAGAAGGATTAAATAATTTGCTCAGGGAAGTGAAAATATTTCAACACTACAAAAACAAAACCAGAAAACCCTTCTCCTTCCTTTTGTCGAGGTCTACTAATCAGAAGAGAAAGATTCGCTCCAACATGGCAGCCCACCGTGCCATTTGGGACATGCGTTTTTTCCCCCCACAATCCTGCCAAGATACCAATCTCACACCTCAAGCTCCTGAAAGAAGACAGGGCTTTCATCCATCCTTTTTCCTGATCTGAGCACCGTGCTAACTCTGCCAAATTATAGAACTTCAGGCCTGTACCTGTTTTGCTTCATTGACCAGAATAGAAGCAGTTGAAATCTATTAGTAAATAGGGTCTTCTCCCCTGGGGACTCCTTGGCATTGATGAAAGGAGGCTGAGTACTTAGAAAATCGTTGCATGGTAATGTGCTAATGATGCTTAATGTTAAGATCATACATGATTTTATCTATGTATGTATGTATGTATGTATGTATGTATGTATGTATGTATGTATCATCTATCTATCTATCTACCTATCTCTCCTTCAGTTCAAGAAACTTATTACAAGTACGTACTCTATTTCAAATAAGTAAAAGCTCTCCTATAGGAAAATAGCTGTATCAATTTTTTACTACTGCATTGTCACACAAGGGGAGGGGAGAATAAAACATAAACTGAATGAACATCCATTCATAGGTAAAATGGTTGACTAAATTACATTGTAACCATCAACCATCCAGTGGAATAATATACTGCTGATATGGAAGATTTGCACCCAACTTTGCTTAGTCTGCTTTTTTTTTTTAATTTCTAGGAAATAACTCTATCTATCTTTACCCAATCATGTGCTATTGCCTTAAAGAATGTCATCTCATTTGGTGAGTAACTTCAGGACTATCGGGCTTAAACTATTAACTATGAGGTATATTTAAATTACACATTTGAATGTCAAAGACATCCAAGCAAAAGACAGGGTTGTTCACTGACTGAGAGCTATACTATAACTTGAGCATTAAGATGCTGCAGGGAGTCCCTTGGTAGTGCATTAGTTAAGCACTCATTTACAGGCAAAAGGCCAGGAGATCAAATCCACCCAAAGGCACTTCGGAAGTCAGGTTTGGCGAGAGGTCCTGGCCCTGAAAACCCTATGGAGCAGTTCTGCTTTGCACACTTCAAGAAAACAGACTCATTGCCATTGAGCCAATTCCGATTCATAGTGAATCCTATGGAACAAGGTCGAACTACCCTGTGGGTTTCACTAGACTATAACTTTTGATTGGGAGTAGACTCACCTTTCTCCCAAAGAGCAGCTGCTGATTTCAAACTGCTGACCTTGTGGCTAGCAGCCCAACACGTGACCATTATACCACCCTGGCTCCTGGGGTCATCACAAGTCACAATGCATTGGATGACCACCATTCCTAACAACGGTCCTAACCGATCATAAGAAATGGTGGCATAAATGTCAACTGCAAATTTAAATTAATAAAAGTTGATCGTGTGGATTATAAATGTTTACAAAGGAACCGCTTTCACAAGGTCAATTCTCTGTTCTCTGGTTGGCAGAATCTGATGTTGGCTTATCCAACACGTAAGGTATGCATGAGTTTATTTGTGATTGCAAATCTTTAGTGAACAATTTTACCTTTCTCACCATGTCTGATTTAAAGGTCTAGTTAATGTCTGTCTTTCTCCTCATCCCAAAGCACCTTCCCACAGAATTAAAGTCTTTTAAAATTTACGGTTTCCAAATGGGACAAAGTATTCAGTAAGCAAAATAAGCACCATATGAGATGTGGTGAATTCCACGTGCAATTATTTCTTTGAGATTAGTAAGTGATACATATACGCCTCTGCTTATCTTGCGTATTGAATAATCTGCTCCAGTTGTAAGGTTTAGGAATGTCCAAAACAATAGCAGAAAGCCACCAGTGTATGAAACAAGGAGACGGCTAAGACCTTTCAGATTCTAAAGCCCTGTGACCCTATAGATGCAATACAATTTACATGGTCTAGAGAAAAAAATGGCTCTGATGGTGCCTCGGGGTAAGCTGTGGACTGCTAACCTCAAGGTTGGTGGCTCAAACCTACCGGTCGCATGGCTTGCTTGGGGTTTAGAGGCAAAAGAGATCGGTGTTAGACACCGCGCATTTTCCTCTTTATGATAGCTAATGACAACCTCCATTAGTCACAAAATGGAAACAGTAGTATTGTTAAGTCTCTCAGATAAATGCAGTCAAAGAAAGAAAATGAAATCGATGAAGACTTTTCAGAGTGAAGCCCATGGCCTGTACCTGTGCAATGAACTGCTCACAAATTTTATTATCATTTTCGTCACAGTTTCCCCTGGAATAAAACTGCCTGCAGACTTGAATTTGAACTTTTCCTGGCACAGGTGGTCCATAGGTATACCTAGTAGGGGAGAGCATACTTTTGATTATAGGTGGACAATATCATAGCAATACTTTACTGTCTTCTTCAGTAGATTCTTTGATATCTGTAAATGAAGAATACTGTAACCTAGCCAAATTCCATTAGGAACTCTCACTGATTGGTACTATAGCCCCACAGAATCTAGGTAAAATGGAGTATTTGATCTGTTCTTCTTTATTAAAGACATTTAAAATAGTGGTGACTCTCAAAGAACCCAAAACTTTAGTGCATGACACACGATAATGAGGATAAGTTTTAAAAATTACATTGAAATATTGTAGCAGTATTAGAAAAATGGATTGCTATACTTTATTTTCCTTATATAATCATAGATACACATAAACGAAAAAATAAAAATGGATAATTCATAAATCTTGGAATACTTCATGGTTAATCTGTTTTATATATATTTTAATATTTTACCTCAAAAACTATAAAATGAAAAAAATACAAAATGTGGGATTTGTATAAGCTGAATTTTAATTAACCAAATTCACCAAAAGTATAACCCAGCAAGGGAGGTGGTGCAGTTTAAAAAAACGTCGTATTTTTTCCTAAGTGCACACGCCTGTCCTCGTTATATAGTGTTGCTGTAGCACAAATATCGCAGTGGATGGCTTTAACCAACAGGCATTTACTGTTTCACAGCTTAAAACCCACTGCCAAGCTGCAGTCGATTCCCCCGCATGGTGACCCTATTTTGGGCCTCTGAGAACCTCATCTTTCTCGTGGGGAGCAGCTGCGACTAGCAACGCAGTACCTAGCCCGCCCCCTCACCAGGGCGATTTGTGGAACTCTGGGGGCCTCTGCTCTTGTATGAGTCAGTATGAGTCAGACTCGACTTGATGGCCGCGGTTTGGGGTTCATTTGGCATACATGTCAGGTGCTTCCATACATCGTCTCACTTACTTTCCCAAGTGTTCCTGAAACTGAAGTATGTTATGACACATGACACTTTACAATAAGTCCATTGAGATCAAGTACCCTATTTTTAAGTGCTGTGGAATTCAGATTCAAACTCTCTGATTCCACAACCTATAGTTTTTTTCTACCTCAATAAACTATTTATCTCTTTATTTCAAAATTCCTAATGATTTTGAGAATAGGACTCAACCAGTAAAATTATCCATCCATGTGAATGTTAATTACAAATAAAATACAGGTAAGACTTCAATTAGGTTACCAATATTTTGCTCATGTATTTCTGTTTTTTATTTCTAAAGTAAACATGTATCCCTCCTGTTATCCACAGTTAATGCATGTTTATGACTCAAATCTTCATGCAGGATAGAGTAAGAAATCTACCTTTGTTTCTTATTTAAAAAGCTTGGTCCGGGGAGACTAACACAGTCCCTTTGTTAATAGATAGATTTTCTTCCTTCTTCTTCTAATTCATCTTAGAGGCTGTTTGCTAACGTGTCTAACTTGATCTGGCTCTCTCAAACTGTTCCAGGCTCTCTCCCACAAGATGTAATACAAAGGGTAGATCTGATATTACTAGAATGTAATTTGAGGAAAGCCACCTGATGTTAACTTTTACACATACTGATTTCACCCATGATGCTTAGGAACGATCTTGTAACAACAACAATAAAACCACCCCACATCTATGTATAGTATATGTTTGGGGGTATTAAAAAAAAACTAAACAAAAAAAATTGCTCTGGTCTCAGATGTCTGGTCATGTTGCAGGACCTTCTTATTGCTGATACCTATTTATACTTAATGTCAAATCGATCTGAGTGCAATGATAGGAAAAGATTCAAGAAGTCTAAATAATAGATTAGCATAAAATATATTAAGGCACAACCAATCCCAAGTTAACATTAAGCTTAGCAAGACTTATTTTCACTCTTTCACCCTTTGTTCTACTTTTCTAACATATCATCGGGCAGGTACCTAATTAGTGCTGTTAATTGTAGTGAACACTCTTGGCTTTGTGTAGGATTTTCCAGTGCTGTCTTTTATAGATCCGGAATTCTTTAAAGCCTATTGGTTACCCCATCCTTTTTAGCACAGATAACTATGACTGGGAACTATTCATAAAACATTGTTGTTGTTGTTGTTGTTGTTGTCTGCCATCACAAGATTAGAGGAAAACAAATCACAGTGTTAATGGCAAAAATGAAGTTGCATTTTTATGTTTTCCTTAATATTTTTCAGCGTCTGCAATGGGAACTCATTACTTCTCATTGTAATATGTACTTATACAGTGTACAAGTATACAATTTAGGTTACATGATTAATCTCATTTCTCATTTTCTTTGAGCTTTGTATCAACCTATGGGGACAAATCCCCTTTCTAATATATACTCACTTAGCACATACAGCCACTTGGAATTCGTTATCAGAAATAGTCAGTGTTTTGGGTGCGTTGACCTTAACTTCAAACTTGGGCAAAACTGTGAAAAATTAAAATATGCTTACTTCAACTCTCACAGTTACTAGTATACAAAGTTTAATTTCGCTCATGTAGATAAACATGTCTGCATTTACAACGTTGCCGGTAAAGCCATCTGGGTTGGCCAAGTTTCAATTACCCTGCATTCTTGGTGGCACCAAGTTACCACAGTACTTAATGATTTTTCATAGGAGACTTTCTTAGTCTCCTAGTTTTGGATTTTATTTGCTGTGATGCTGCCTAGAAGGTTGTCCTGAAACTAGCAAATGGACTTTTTCTTAAGAAGATAAGTAAGGGATTAGACTCAACATATCTGTCAGTAGTCAAGAACAGAAAAGAGGAAATGATAAAACATAAGAAACCAAAGAAGAAGACAGGGAAATAAATTCAGCCTTATATACGTTTATCTAAATCTCGCGTAAGAGCAGTTTTGTTCAGTCTTTTCAACTTCTGTTTATGCATACAGCCATACAGAGTGAGTGGTTACCATATTTCTCAACAGTAAAGGGGTGTGTCACTGTCTTTCCTGATTTTTTTTCCACAGTAATTAAGTATTTTCCAAGCATTGGTTCTGAAATCAACTGGAATAAAAGCTGGGTAATATTTTGGAAGGAAGTCACATTTTGCCATTGGAAGATCCTATTTCTTTGAGGATTCTAGAAAATAAAGATATAATAACAGTCAGAGGTTGTATGAAGATTGTGATATTTGCCTTCTTCGCTACAGGTCCTTTGTGTTGTAATAGAAATGAAAAGGCCCTAACATTTTATTGAGTTAATTATCTCAAATTGGAAGAACAGTATATCTTAGTTAATGTATGCAAATTCAATTTTACGGCATATTTTCTAAAGCCTGAATGATAAGAAAAAATAACATAACTAATATTTTGATTTTTATCTTTCTGAACCAGAGTTGCATACAGAAACAACTAAAAGCTCAATGCACACACTCTAGAATAATGCTTTCCAAAGGAGGCTGAGCATACACCAAGAGGTGCTCCCACCTACACACAGATGTAGAGTCTGTTCTGACTTTGAGCAACCCTATAAAGCAGAACTGTGCCATCGAGTTTCTGAGACTAGACACCAGGAGATACTTACTCTAATAAATATTCAATCCGATTGACACTGTTTTCACTGGATCTCTATGTAAGCAGGTCGTGACTCACATATTGCATATAAAAGCTACTGTATGAGAAATTCTCAGAGTAAGAAATAGTGGTTGCTGATGGCACCTCCTCTCCGTTATTTGATTTCAGCAAATGGGGCTGGATTGCAGAGTACATGAGCCTGATCCAATAAATCCAGTGATATTATACAGCTACCCCACATTTCCATTATACTAATTTCTGATTATGCATAATGAACAATAGACTTACATTTTTTATTTATCTGAATTTTAAAAAGTAATTGACATGTAAAAGGAGAACTCTTACCTGAAGTGTGATTAAAGGATACTGAAAAGGAGGAAAAATACAGGTTAATACTGTCATGGTATCTTTTTTGCTAACTATTGCATTATGAAGGTTATATGATTAACTTTTCAAAAACAGATTTATTGGCATATAATTCACGTACTGTATAATTCAATGGTTTAAATACTTTAAAAAGAGTTGTGTACTTCTGACCACAGTCAACTTTAGAGCATTTTCTTCATTCTTGTGCCCATTATTATTTTCTCTTCATTACTCCCCAACTTCCTCTGCCTGTTAATCTAGGTAGTGTCTCTATGGATTTATCTATCCAGGGTTTAATATGAAGAAACCCATATCCAAACACTCTACCACACCAACAAAAGTATATGATTCTAACGTGCTGCAACTTAGCTCTTACCCTATCAAAGGACCTAGTTTGTTTGTTTGTTTTTCATCTAAAAGCATCAAGAAAACCTAAAACATGATAGAGATCTCAAATTTCTTCTGGAACATGGAAACTAAACTCCTTTAAATACATTTTCTCCACATGTGATGAGAAGGCTTAAAGGTGTATAAATCAATCCACTTTAAAGGAACACTTTACATTTAAATTTGAGATGAGCTGAATTTATGTAGTACTCCATGTTATAAATTATTCCCAAATGTACAGAATTCCTGAAGACCTTTTGTGTAGTAGTGGATTTACTGAGTTACGATGTTTAAATTCCATGGTAACATTAGAAACAATTGAGCTCACCTCTTCTGCAACAGGCTTGAATTTAATATCCAATGTCACAACCCGAATATGAACTAAAAGGTAAAGAGAAGGGGACAATATCTTTCATCCACACATCTTGCCCTCACATCAGATTATGTATAAATAGATCTAGACATCACTAGCCTTACTCTTGGGCAATACTGGCCATCCTTTCCTCTTTCCCTGATTTTAGCCCTGTGGGATTTGGACTCCTTTGTGTTTTGTTGTTACCAGAGCTGATGTTGGCTATGGCGAGTGGTGGAAATATTTATCCTAACAGCACAGAGACCTATTAAAACTTGGTGGCCCCCTAATAAAATGTTTTTTAAAAAAACAAAAAAACTTACATTAAAAAAAACCCAACTTGGTGGCATAGTTAGCTATAAAAGGACACATTGAAATACGTGTGCTTGGAGATAAATAAAAAATTTCCTGGGAAAAATAAATTAGTATTAGCAACTAGTAACCTAATTTGAGCAGACTTCCATAAAACCCTTGTTAGAGTGTATTACATCCATTATTATCACTATAACAGTGTAGCAAGACGAGGAGAGAGAATAGAGTGCAGGAAAGATACTATTATAAGACTCCTATTCTTAATGGTGGAACCTCCAAAACTATAATACTTAGTCCTCTCTAGGTCTAGAAATGAGCTCATTCTGATGGGCCAATTACAGCCAGGCAAGAGACAAAAGGGCAGTATTCACCTGGGAGCAAAGTTCAGAAGACTTAGGAAAGAGGGAGAAATGGAAATACAGAGAGGAAGTGGGCTAAGTGATGCTACGTTGTGGTGCTTGCAATCAATGACATGAAATAAAACATGTATAGAATTTTGACTGGAAAACTGATTTGCTCTGTTTCACCTAATTTACACTACAAGTTTTTTTAAAAAGTGTATTCTACTTCTGTTATTTTTTTTTATTTCAACAAATCATAAGATATAAGTCATAGTAACCTGTAGAGACTATCTGATCCAACTCTTTAATTTTATGAATGAGGATACTAAATTCTAAAGGTTAAAAGTTACTTGAAAAAAGTCTATAATTGTTAGCAGAGCCAAGAGGAAACCCAGGCACTTCTGAAATATAACTCAGTGTTCTTTCAGCTACTTTCCACTTGTCACAATAATAATAAACAAAATTTAAAAATTCTATTTAAACAATCAAAGTAATGATTATAGCTACTCTGATGAATAATAATAACAATTAAGATATGGAGTTTTCACTGTGTACGGTGCCCTATTTCACATTGACTATTTTATCCTAACAAGAGCCCTATCAATGAGACACTTACTTTTATTATTCCCTTTCTATAATGGCTTCGATTCAAGCCAGGAGTTCAGTTCAGTTGCCCTACTGGTAAACAATGAAGTGAAATCGCCTCAATTCAACATGCAAACCATAGAGTTTTATTCGCTCTCCTATTGTAGTACATAAACCTGTTGCTAGACGTTGACAATTCTGGGAATCCCGGGTCCTAGAACATTAAAGATCAACCTATTGCTACAATTCATCTGTTTGAATTGCTCTCACTTCAGAGAATGTGTTCCGATAGATAGTCAGCTTTATTAAGGTAACATGAAAATGGACTCACCCTTCTCCGCAGGCTTATAGAGAGGTTTATCTGTCTGCACAAAGGTCACAGTCTCTTCAGAAGTGATAGCTACAGATCTTCTCTCAAAGAGGTGGAGCGTATTCCCCTTCGCCAGCAATGTGACGAAAGCTAATTGCTCAGAGGATTTCTCAGAGACCTATTTATGCAGGAGAACAGGGAATAGAAAATTTTACATGTTAAGATGATGAATACATTTTAAATTTATCTTCTCAACCTGAGGAGAGCCTTGTGAACCCATTTTTAAATATATATATATAATAGTTTTATTGACTTATACAATCCAATAGATCAATTCATAGTCAATTCTATTGTTCAATCCCATCGAGTGAGGTTATGCAATCATCAAAAAATATGGAATGCTTCGTGAATTTGAACCCATTTTTACAAAACAGTGATTATTTGTTACACTTTACTTTGCATAACAGTAGCTTCTAATAAATTTGTTTTTGTCTTTTCACCTTCTATTTTCCTTCTCTATTTCTCTGCATCAGAATCCTTCATCTCTTCACTAAGATTCTCTTTTCTCATATTGTGAGATAGACCTGCTACCTCAAAAGCAGTAATTACACAGATTCATTAAGGTTCAAAAAGGGGGGGAGGTGGACGCTATACCAGAAGAATGGCAATATTTCATAATTTTTAAATGTGTACAATTTTCATCATTGTCTTGATCCTCCAGGAGCCTTTGGTTTTTCTCCCCCGATTCCACTATTCATCAAAACCAACATTTCATATCGCTCTAAAAATGAATTTTAGATAATTATTTTATTATTCCATCCCATGTGCTGAAATTTCCATCTAAAGTGACAAATTCAACACCTCACCTTGAAACTGGCACAAGCATAGAAATTATTTTCCTCCACAGACTGGTCGAAGATAGTGGTATTGACTCCATCACATTCTAAGACAACACTCAAGGACACAGATTCATTAAGGTTTAAAAGGTGGACACAGGCTTTTTCCACGGAATGACTTTGCATCACAGAAGAGATCCACAGGACATATTGCCTACACAAATACAGTAACCCATGCTGTCAAACAAGCCCAGGAGAAACGGTGAGTATTTCTAAAACATAGGTTAGCTTATTAAAATATTCAGAAACAGACACATTTTTTATAGACAGGATTTTGAGAAAATTTGATATGCAGAGAGACCTGTCTTTGGAAGAGGAGTCAGTTCCCTTCACAGACATGTTTAAAAGTTTTAAGGCAGATCAACGCTCAGGTTCAGAAATTAAAATGGTGAAAATCTAATCAGACTCTCACAAAGAACATATTGAACGGGATTGTCTTGCTAGTACTTTAACATCAAGAGAATAGCGTTCTCTTACGGTTCTGAAGCCACAGCAGCAGTGAAATGAAACAAAAGCACGCTCCCCAAAATGGTGAGCACCATTTTATCCCCACCCCTTAACTAACGAAGGCTTCAAGATGTGTCTGCTCGCTATGATTGGAAGTCAGCTCCCTGCTTTCCCCCTGCCTTCTGCCTGTCTCTCTCTGCGTAGAGCTGCATTTATAGTTATACACAGTGGAGAATCATTGTTTTTGGACCAAGTTTTTGGAAACCCCCCCCCCCATTGACCTTTAGATCACCTCCCTCATTACCTCTGCAGGGGGTGTCACTTTACATGTCACTTCCTACTTGAGTTCACTGGGCAGGACTGTGCTTCAGAATCTGCAGCACAGGTTGGACAGGAACAAACAGAAAAACAAAGAAGGCAGTGTGTGACATTTTTATTTAACCAACCTATTCTGCTTCATTTATCAACTCACTCACACAGTTGATAGTTTCAAAAGTATTAAACCTAGCCCTCAATCAACAGGTGAAAAGAAAATACTTCTCTAATTCCAATTTCCTCTAAGTACACTTTTTCAGGTTTCGGAGCAGACTTGCATTTCTGATGCTACCGAAACACAGTGCGGGTATCTACTTATGAGATCAATTTATAAATCATGGGAGCTGTTCTCAATGCTCTTACACAGAATACAATATTTAATCCCTTTTTTTTGGGTTTACAATGTTCATATTCTTTTCTCCATAAATATAGTGACAGACACACACACACAAACAAGGTAAATTTAAAATGCGTATAAACTAGACACATGTTTTCTTCCACTTTTCTTTTTCTCATGTCGATCCATATAGGATAGGCAGGATAACCTTTCCAAGGAGAAAACAACAAACAGGCCAATCACTTTGGAGGGACTTGGGAGAGTAGGAGGTGGGAGAAAGGAAGGGAGGAGCCAACAAACCCAGGGACAAAAGAATAATAAGGAATCTAAAGTCAATGGTGAGGAGGCCATAGAATGCATGATGGGGGTTGATCAAGTGCAAAGTAGCCAAGAGAAAGTACTGAGAGTCGAATGAAGGTCGAACATGATAGTGGGACCGGAGGAAAGTAAAAAGAAATACAGGAAAGAACTAAGAGCCAAAACACATTTATAGAGGTATAAATATAGACATGCACATATGTAAATGTATTAATATATAACAAAAGAGATATAGGTCTATGCACATATATTTAAATGTTAAGTATTAAGGTAGCAGATGGGCACAACAACATTTTGTTCTAATAACCTGGCATTTTGTGATGCTCACCTTCCCGACAAGATTGCAGAAGTCAAAATGGGTGCATAAGCAAATGTAGTGAAGAAAGCGGATGGTGCCAGACTATTATATAGTGTCTGGGGTCTTAAAGGCTTGCAGTTAAACAAGTGGTCTTCTAGCTGGGAAGCAACAAAGCCCACATGGAAGAAGCACACCAGCCTGAGTGATCATGAGGTGTTAATGGGATCAGGGATCAGGAATCAGGCATCAAAGACCCAGAACAAAAAAAACTATATCGATGTGAATGAGGAGGAGTGCAGTGTGGTGACCCAATGCTCATCTGCAGACAATTGGACATCCCTTTACAGAAGGGCCACAAGGAAGAGACGAGTCAGTTAGGGTGCAGTATAGCACCGATGAAACATATAACTTTCCTCTAGTTCTTTAATGCTCCCCGCCCCCACACTATCATGACCCCAATTCTACCTTTCAAATCCAGCTAGACCAAAGCATGTACACTGGTAGAGATAAGAGCTCTCAACACGTGGAATCCAGGACAGATAAGCCCTTAAGGAACAGTAATGGGAGTAGCTGGGAGTACTGATAGCATAAGGGTAGAGGGAAGGTGGGAGTTGAAGGGGGAGAAACAGGGAACCGATTATAATGACTGACAAATAGCCCTCATCCCCCTAAGGCGATGAGCAGCAGAAACTTGGGTGAAGTGAGAGAGCAGAAGGCATAAGATATGAAAATAATAACATAATTTACCAAGGGTTCATGAGGATGAGAGGATGAGAGAGGGAGGGGAAAAAAGAGGAGCTGATACCAAGGTCTCAAGCAGAAAGAAAATGTTTTGAAAATGATGATGACAACATATGTACAAATGTGTCTGATACAATTGATGTATGGATTGTTATAAGAGCTGTAAGAGACAGACCCCAATAAAATGTTTTATTAATAATCAAAAATTAACTTTTGGATTACAAAACATTTCTTTTTTTTTTCTTTTTTAACATTTTATTAGGGGCTCATACAACTGTTATCCCAATCCATACACACATCAATTGTGTAAAGTGCATTTGTACATCGTTTCTCAAAACATTTTCTCCCCATTTTAGCCAAGCCAAAGAAACAGACAAAATCTTGCCAGAGACCTCATTGTCTTACTTCCTCTACTTATCTTACTTTCCTTTTTCAACGATTTTAATTTCCGTGATTGATGGAATAATGCATATAACTTGAAAAAGATTCTGTTTGGTAAAGGAAGATAGGAAGAGGCCGCTGTCCTACAGAAGTGATCCTGTAACAGCAGATACAAAAGAAAGGACAAAACAAATACTTATAGATAAGGAGCTACAGTAAAGTAGTGAGAGACTACCAGCAGATCTCCTGTATGAGAACATGACTCTCTTGTTGACCACATTTGAATTCTAATAAAGAATTAGGTTCATGAAAACGGATCATGTCAACTTGGCATAAACATGTTTTCATGATCTCTTTCTCCCTAAATATAGACTGACCTAAAGTAATCTGATCTTATTAACGTGGTCTCCAGATATAAGCGCACCTTAGTCCAGAAAACTCAGCTATTGTTTCATTCCAACAATATTGACAGAGTGCACATTCTGTATCAGCACCAGTGCTAGTTCTGAAGACACCAAATGATGACTTAATCCTCTAAAGACGTCTGCCTTGCAACAGAAGGCAAGAGCAAAGAAGAGAAGGAAGGAAGGTAAGAAGCAGTGGGGTCCAGGTTCATCGAGGTTGTAGCATAGCTCAGAACTTCATTTCTCTCTATGGCGGAGTAACCCTCCTCGGTTTCTATATACCATTCGTTGTTAATCCAGTCATCTCTTGGTGGGCATCTAGGTGTTTCTATCTTTTGGCTACAGTGAATAGTGTTCCCATGAACACTGATGTGCTGGTTTTCCGTTTGCATTACTACTTTCAGTTCTTTGGGTGATATACCTAAGGTTGAGCTAAATAATTTTTATTTTGTTGGGGGAGAATGTGTAGTATGCAATGAAATTCAATATATTTCTAGAACAATTTGTAATTGGTTTTTGAATGACTTTTTACTCTGTGCTAGGAGTTCAAGGGCTATCTTGAAAAGTAATGAATATAATAACTTCTATTCTATGGATATTAGAAAGGAAAGAAAAGAGAATAATGGGAAGAAAACCATAGAGATTGTTCAAAACTGTCCTAGGTAACAGGTGGAATGAGGGCCCGAATGATAATAAAATATTTTCAAGACATCGTTTTTCACTGCAATTTTTAGGACTTCAGAGGGCTTTGGCTATGGGAAAAAGAAGAGGAAGATGATAAGATTGATACTGATGATGAATGCTATTGCAATTACACAAGACAATGAACACAATAATATATATAGATGGAATGGTGATTTATGTTTGGACGCTATTAGGTCTGAGGTGACCGTGGTACAACAAAGACATGGTAACAGTGGATATATAAAATAATAAGTGTAGTACTCCGAAAATAGTAAGAAATGTGAATACAGATTTGGGAATCATTACCTCATACAAATGATGTACAGTCTTATGAACGTTGATAAAAGTTGTGCAGGGAAAACATTGTCAGAGGGAAAGAAAATGGCCAACTGTAAGAGAAAGATCTGTGACATTTTGGCTACTCTGCTGTTCTATTAAGTAATATTTTTACGGTAAGAGCCATATTAGTTCATTTCCCTAATACTATTGAATAGAATCTGGCTTTATCATTATTTATTTAACTGATTTTGGTAAATGGTAAGAAAATATTTTGTTGCGTCTCCAAGTTGTGTGATTAGTGACGGTTCACTTTACGAGAAAATCTCAGTCGGAGCCCCTGAGAACCTTTTACATTTTTACTTCACCTTTATGGAATATTCAGGACAAGAACCCCAAAGAATGGTCCAGAAGACCAACAACGTATAAGCACTTAGGTTTTCAAAAAAGTTCCTAATGTCGCAAAACATTGAAAGGGAAATAACCATTTCCTCATGAAGGAACAATCCGCTTGCCATGAAAACTTGCCCTTTTACTTCACAGCTGTTTACTCTGGCATCAGTTCCAGATAGTAAGAGTTGCCAAGAAATCCTTAATCACAAGCCCCACCTGGGGATGAGTGGTTAAAAAAATAAAGGGAGACAGAGCTGGGTATGGAAGGGTCAGGTGCACATTCTGTTATAACTCAGCAGAGCCAGTTTTTTTTCATCTGCAGACAAGGTTCAAGATTATGTAGAGTCTATTTTGATCTCTTCAGTTGCTCAAGAGCCAATAAATCCCAGGAAATATCACTCCACCCCATCAGATAGACAAATGTCAAACCAAGTGTTACCAATGACTAGAACCAACACAGTAGCTCAGAAATCTTTAGTGCCACCACCCATTTCTCCTCTAGAGAAAATCTTAAAGGCTTGAGTTAGGAAGTATGTAATGAGGGTGGACAATATTTAATAGAGGTGAAGTAAAAGAGGTGTATCGCTTCATCAGTCTGTAATTCATCACTGAAATCACCATCTTCCTGCAGGTTTTTGCGACCTTTCTTTGAGACATATGACCTTACCAAAATACTTAGCTGTCAACTAATATTACCTCCTCAACAGAAAGACTCACTCTTTTTTTGTTCTTTTTCAATCATTTTATTGGGAGCTCTTACAGATATTGTAACAATCGATAATTCAATTAGATCACACGTAATTGTAAAATTGCTACCACCATCAGTTTCAAAACATTTTCTTTCTTCTTGAAATCTTTAATATAAGCTCCCCTTTATCCCCTCCCTCCACCATTCTACCCCACCTAAGGAACCCTTATTATTATACTATTGTTATTTGCCATATCTTA